TCGTTTGGCATTACACGATGTTCGTGACCATCATGCTGCTAGAATAATAGCTTTCTGAAAAACGATAGCAGGATACAGAATAAGTAAAATTGCCGTTGTTCAAAAATTCGTTGAAGAGATAAAGCTGTCGGGCGCTTGGTATCCCTCCCCTTCCCTTCCCCAACGGTTTGCACGGGTTGTTCATGGAACCCGTCTTCCGTTTTTCTCAGAAAGGGTGGAAGTGCTACCATTTGTCCAGAGAGAAAAGCTCCGGCGCCGTTACGTCACGCCGCAGATGACTTCACTTTCCACCAATCCCCGGCCCGCAGCGGCAGCAGCAGCCAGGCTGCTGGTCGGGGGTACTGTCATGCTTGCTCACGTGGCAGTATCCGGATGTTAAATAACTTTTCGACTAATCGCATCCAAGCCCGGGAACAGGCGAGCGGTTCGTGGCAGCTCTTGCGGTCTTCCTCCGTTATTTTCTGGCCGCTGTCTTATCATACAGTTGCATTGATTACACCAGCAACGCGTTTGCTCATAGCGCATGACGTACGCATCATGATTTGTGGATCAGGAAATTTTATCGAACCCCGTGAATACGTCGTACCTAAATCCTACCGATGAGCCATGGAGATAGCAGGAAGGCTATGGTGTCACCACTGAAAAACTATGAAAATGACATCTATTTATAGTAGTGATTTATGGCAGGTTGCTGGAGACACCAATCAATAAAATCGAGACGAAGGCTGCAGTTTGATTGCTGATCAAGGAAACCACTGCTACTTCGCGAGCATGCCGTCATTCAATCCAAGAACAGCGTCTCCATGGCCCACACTCAAATTCCCGGAGTAAATACCGCTTATGATCAGCGGCATGCCTGCTCGATGAGAGGGCTAAGTAAAGAGTACATCCTCCTTATCTCTAATTTCACCTTATTTGTCTGGAGACTTACCAACGCTGGCTTCTGTCTTTGCCCCCAACGTGAGCGATTGTTAACAAATGGCTGCCACATATTCTGGACAGCCCCAAGTCTTTCCGATACTTTTATAGAAATTAAGCGTGGCTTCGTGACGCGCGTCACGCGCGCCGCTGAACCTATCCTACGTCACCTCCATGGCAGCTGAATACGAAACCAAAATGTACCGTAACTCCGGCTGTGGTCAGCGTGGTAGATATCCCGCAGAACTGGTCTTTACGTCAGCTGCTGGTACGGTTGAGCCGGAACCGGGCCATTGCTTGGGTTCTTTGCTACTGATAACGATCTGGAGGCCTGGGCGCGTTATCGTTTGTTTCGTGGTGCTTTGATAATGCTTTTGTATATATATATATATATATATATATATATATATATATATATGTATATATGTCATTGGTGTACTTGGGCAGTATGTTTTCATTAATGCAAGGTTTGTTGTACGCAAGGGTGAATGTATTCGATCGCTCGAATTAAATCCTTCGTTGTTTTCGGTAAGTTTTAAATGAACTCGCCGGTAGTCAATTAGTTAACGCTAGCTAACGTTTCAAGGACATTCATTCCCCACTTTCAAAGCAATGTAAGACCAACGGCCTTGTGTAAGACGGTCAGACGGAAAATATTTGAATATGGCAAAATACGAGGCATGCCCTACAAGACATAATCATTCGTGGACCATCAGTTAACAAATTATGCATCCGAATATCAGCACACACGCACACACACACACACACACACACACACACACACACACACACACACACACACACACACACACACACACACACACACACACACACACACACATATATATATATATATATATATATATATATATATATATATATATATATATATATATATATATATATGTGTGTGTGTATGTGTGTGTGTGTGCATAAATGTATACATATATGAATGTGATATGCGTATACGGGTAATATGCCCATAATCGCAGTGTATAGCGCATTCAGATGTTGTACATTACGATATAATAGTCATGCAAATGTGTTCAATAATATCTTAACAGTACATAAGACTGACGGTTAACACCCTGATAGGTATGACACCCTATCACTGTCAAATATGATCCAAGGTACGCTGATTAAAAAGGCAAAAGCACCATTTAGCTGCTCCGGACATTACCAACGGCGTATTTTCCGCCCTTGGTTTGTTTTAAAGGATCAGGAACACGGATTCGGTCTTAAGTATGTGTTCAGCCTAGCTTGCAATTAAATCGACCGATGAGTGTCGGGATTATCAGGGGAAGAAGGAAAATTCCACCAGGCTGCTTTTGCTCTGAATAGCCGAATGGTATAAGAGCTCTGCTCTGCTTATGGACGCCTGTGACAGGGTAATACACTACAGACGAGGAAGGCGCTCACTTACGAGCGAGGCCTTAGGCTACACCAGTCTTAACGCCAGCTAACCGGAAATTTTGTAGCTGCAGCAGTCCGACTTGAAAGTTGTGCTGTGTTGTGTTTGTGGGTATTTCTGCAACGTTGCAAGAATGTGACAGTTTGATTCGTGGTAATTTACCCTTGAGATGAAGATGGGAAGCGTAAGTTTTTGTTCAAATGACTAAAGCTAAAAAAACAGGAAAGCCAAAGCAGGTTCAGATCTGGGACGACAGGCTACGCGGTGAGTTGAGCTTAACTGATGCTGACGGAGAAAGGGAGCATTCGTACTGGCAGGGCTGCGCGTCGATGAAAGACGGTCACACGCCAGCCCGCACCAACCATGGATCCCCATGCCGAGGTGTCTTTAAGACCTGATGCTAGATCTCACACTCAGAGCAGGTGAAGATGTGACACCGGCCGTGCGATGTAGGCAAGTGTTCCGTCTAGAAATCATCAAGCAATCTCAACATTGCCCAACCCACAGGTGTTCCAGCAATGGACCTTGAAGAGACTATTGACACATTCCGAAACTGGTCTCCAACATAACCCGCTGTGGCCTAATTCGAGAGAAATGGACAATGGAAAATGCGCAGGTGCATAGTCCAATTTATAGTGAACAAGGTCCGCCGAAAATATTAAGATTCTCCTGACACTTTCGTCACAGTCACGAAACCATGTCAACGATTCCAGATGACTAACTGGTCAATAACAATGTTTGAGCCTTGCTTCGCTCAAAGACAGTCAATATTCCAATATTTGTTCCCATCCGTAAATTTTGTGCAAACACTGATCAACCTCAGTACACCGCTGCCAACTAAAATTATGAAATAACCCTTCCGACGCGTTCATAACATCATTGTGTAGGACTTCCCAATGGCGAGGGACTCTGTTCACTTCCGTTTCGGCACCAGTCACACGGTGATAACGAACATGTTTATTATCACTTCATCCACCTCTCGCCGCAAAAGAAGGCTTGCTGGCACCAATCGGCTTACAAGTGAGTCAAAGTCAAACTCATGTCTACACAGAACATTCCAGTGTCATTTTCGAGGTGCAGCAGTGAACAAATTGTTATGAATTACGTTTTTAGGAATGCAATTGTTCCTAAAAACATTTTATTACAAGCCAGAAAATGTATTGGAAGGCGGCCTGAAAAAGGAGAATGACGCAAAAGCAGCTCATATTTTCGCACAAAGTTAGCTAAAATCCAGGCCAAACATCCCCTATATACATATATGTGCACACGCACATGAAGCATACCCGCCAATTTGTAAGCAAGTGTATCTATTGCGCAAGCGATGAGTCGTGGAAGCGTGCTTCTTCACACAGGGAATACGTGTTGCCTCGCATTTTGCTGGTCATCGCTGTTGTGAATCAATTAATGCGCGAAGTTTTGTCGATAAGCGTTTTTAATTACGCAAGCTATGAAGAACATTCGCGAGGAACATTATACATAAAGATAAGACAGTCCTGTTAGCCTTATTCTTCTAATGATAAACAAGAGGAATGCGAGATAGGTGCATTGCTTTTATCGAAACGGATATCAGCATACATTTCTTCTCGTGAATCTACAAGGAATCAGGCAGCCAATATTCCAGCAATGGCTGTCATTCGCAAGTTTTGTGCCAGCACATAAAAACATCAGTGCATCGCTATCTGCTATACTTATACTGTCGTGTCGATAAAATACCAGGTTGATTCGGCTGTAAAGTTGATGAAAAACGAGGAGCAGAAAGTAGGCTATTTGATACTTCGAGGCATATCATTAAGTCCATCTTGATAACGCGCGTATTGCATGAAAAGGGTGGCATTCACGCGTTGTTGTGTGCCAGCGATGTTCTCTTGAAGGGGTAGAGCAAAAGGCCCAGCGATTGGACACTGCCACGCGTTTTATATCCCGGCATAATTCATATTTGTTTGCCGAAGGAAATGCGTTTTTTCAAACATTTCTTCCAGGATGAATCGGCGCAGCTTACGAAATAGGCTTGCCTCATTCTGTTTGATTAGTGTCGCCCAGGCAAGTACATTCCGCTTTTTCTTTAAGTGGTTGCGACATGTTCTCTTCAACCTTTAATGGGTGAAGTGACGGTCGCGTCAATTTGGACGCACGGCAACTGATGTCAATCTATCTCCATTGGTAGGCGGTTACATTGGTAGCTTTTCCACGCTGGGTTTTCCCAACACTTCACCGGTGTGACCGTGTCTAGCTCCACCGGCTCAACTCCTGATAAAGATATCAGATAGCGCCCTCACATGACCCTGAGAACGTGACGTCATCCGCGCCGGTTTGTTTGCAGATCAAACAGAAGGGCTCAGCTGCAGTGTCACACCAATAAATCTGTGGTTGCGCCTGCATGGCATCGCAGGAAAAGCGAAGGCATGCGCTACGTAGTGATAAAAGGAGCAGCGTCCGTACAAAATAATACCTGCATCCAGTCATCACACCAAAATGCCAAGAAGTCTCTCACTCGTCTTCCAACCATCAATTTGCACTCGGTCGGCTTCCATGAGGTCCCCGCCCCGTCGCTCCCCCCCCCCCCCCCCCCGCCGCCGTCCGGTCGCCGAGTCTGTCGGCCGGACGACACGTGGGGCGCGCGCCGTGCAATGTTGCAGCAGCGGCGCGGCCCGGCCGCCGCCAGTTGCAGCGAGGTGGCGCTGGAGGTCGGGTCGGCGCGCGAGGCCGACGGCCAGGAGCGCGAGCGACGCCCTCAGGGGAACAGCCGCTGACTGTTGACGGGCCGGCTCGACGATCGGCACGCTGCGGAACACAGTCGAGGTGAGAGCGGCGTAGCGAGACGCCCTGCGCGGCCCTATCCCGGCCCTGCCCATGGCCGGTTGCCATGAGCCTTTGTCTGCGTCGGCCGGCGGGGCCATGGAGGCGACGCGTCGGCGTGGGCGTCGTTTCACGCCCGCCGGCCGAGCTGTAAACTGCTGGGCCGCCAAGCCCAGCCCAACGGTAGCCGTGTTGCGAAATGCAGGAGTGATTCGGTGAAGTAGGTCATGGCGTTGGGTTGCGTGGCTGCGCCGCCGTCGCCAGGCCAACGAAAATGGCGGCGCGTCTGACCGCGCTGGAAGAGGGGAGGGGGTGCTCCCACGCACAATGCGGGCTCGGAATAGTAAGGCCGGTGTAACGGTGCTGCAGGCGCGGGTTGTCGGACGGCCGTGTCGGCTCAGTAGCCAGCTGTGTTTCTGCTCCAGTGAGGCACGTTAACCGTTGTGGATGAGTCACGGTCGCCAGAACGCCAGGCAGGAAACAGGGACAACGGGACGCTGTCGGTCACAACGCCAAAGCAAACGGTCAGCGGCTGGAAAAGGCTAGCAGGCGAGAGCCAAGCCAAACGGAACACCCGTTGGTATGTGGTTATTCCATGCTTCCCAGTAGATGGACGAATTATTTACCAATATAGAGCAGAATAAGCTGTCGTTCTGCTCCGTGATCTTACCGGCTGGTGTGTGTTGCGCACCAGCCGGCAAGCAAAGCCGCTAGTTTTGTTCTGATTTGCCGCGAATAACTTCTAGACCATTGGTATTTTCATTCGGTCCGTGGCATATCAGCAGAGGAATGACCAAGCTCTGTGAGATCACACTTCTGGAGCAATGGTCCCATCCTTCTGAAGGGAGCGGGGTTCCTTGTGGCTTAACACCCCAGTACTTTAAGCAGCTTAAAACCCTCGAAGGGCTTGTGAGACTCAAATAGGTTGTGGAGCTCCGAAAGGTCGTTTGGAATGCAAAACGGGGGTCCCTTTAACGACAAAGAGGGAGCGCCTTGGCTGGAGGACCCCTGTGACCCGATCTGGCACCTCCTGAACGGAATCCTGGCTACGCCACTGAACTGCCCACGGTAAACGGTAGACTGCGCGAGGCTGGTACCTATCCTGTGGGGCGACGCACTTCTGCCGACAGCCAGCACTGCACCAGGGCTTCCACAGCGGGGCTCGGTGTCGGCGCCCCTGTTAGAGCCCTTCTAAGGCATGCGACGGAGGCGGTGACCCGGCCGGCGTCCCGCCCCAGCTCGACCGAGGCACGCGACGGCGGAGTGACGGGCTGGGCAGGGCCCGCGCCGTCCACGACCGTCCGGCTCCCGCTGCTGACTCTGGCAGCTCCGGCACGCCGTCCGTTGCAGCAGCTCGGACGAAATTCGCACGCGTCCCGCTGCGAGGTTGACGACCGGAGGCCACTGCGGCCCACACGGCTATGGTGCACGCTGAGTCACTGCTAACTGGCTGAGGATGGCCGGATTCGGGGCCTCCTGCTTCACAGACGGGACGACGCCGCGGGCAAGCGGCTTCCCGGCCTCCGGTCCTCTCCGTCTGTCGTTCCTCGGTCCTCTCGTTCGATGGCATGCTTCGTCAAAAGTGTCCTCTGCATTCAATTTACTCCATCGTCGATCTTCCTCCGCTCCCAGTCTCTTTCATCGCCGGTCTGGTCTGTTCGCGGACTCCCTCATCTGACGTCTGCTCCGTCTGTCAATTTCTCGTCCGCGGTCTCCTCCGTCTACCCCTCGAACCGCGGCACACACACCGCAACAGACGAGGCCCCATCTCGCACCAGGTGCCACCCAGCCAGTCCGGGCCGTGCGTGATTGCCGGGACCGTCGGGGGCACCAGGGGTGCCTGATCCTCTTCCAAGCTGGGCGGCCGATGCCCCTTTGTATTGAATTCTTTTTAGGCAGTGCCAATTGACTGGTGCCATTTTTTCGGAAACTTCGGACCCCAACTTTTTGAAGCCCCTGCTTCCCCTGCCCCTGCTGAGCACCAAAAGTTGTGACAGTTGCCTGCGTTGAGCAGCCTCCCCCCCCCCCCCACACTGCACGAATCAGATAGCATGCCGATTGTTACTTGTATACCACGAGCGATGAGCTCATGTCTTTTCAATACCGCCACACAGAATTCGCTTGCTTTGGAAAATCCGCCTTGTTGGGTGTGATGGCGGTCGGTCGCATCCGTAATCATTAAGCAACATATTCTGCGATTTCGCAGAAATAGTCTATGCGACCCGGATTATGGATTAGATACGCAACTTTTCAACCCCCCAACTCGCCATTGTCTGACATGTAACAACCCGCGGGCTTTTTTGACCAGGTTATGGGCCAGACTTGGCGAGCTTTTGCGGGCCAGATATTTCAGCAAGCAACATGATGTAGTTCCTGCTATTCCCCAAGTTTTTCATCATTAAACAACCAGAGTGTGATGCCAAACACAAAATAGCTATAAAAAACGTTTTCTATTTCGACATCAACAACACCAATAACAAGACCTGCGGCAGATATGACACACCATAAACCAGGTCTCACAAATTGAACAGCTTTAAGCGGACATCTGGCTGAAAAACTAAATAACAACTCAAATTTTCAAAACTGCAGTCTGCTTTCATTGAGCAGCAGTTAGGTGGGTCCTTGATATAAACACAGCTAGGTACTATACTTGCTGTTTTTGTAAAGGTGTGGTGCACTCAAACTTTCTTGATTTACACACAAGCCATGCCTCACAATCAATGTCAGTGCTCAATGAAATGCATGTGGAACTATGAGAGCCTTTCATTTCTCTAGTTTCATTCACTTATCAATACGGCCCACGGTTACTGGTGTATCAAAAGCGCAACAGTTGTCGAAACCAAAGCAAAAATGGTGGCATATAGGTCTGTCCATTTATGCCTGGAAAAAAACAAATCATGACTACGACCGCAGGGCTCTTACCCATAATACGCTTCTCTCTTAGTGTGATTGTTATTCTTCTTATATCTTCTCAAAGACACGCCAAAGTAGCATTGAGATCTCTATCTATGGCTGAGTCGGTGGCTTTAAACACAGCCACACGGGAAAAGAATGTTGAGAAAGCTCAGAGTGGCAAATCTGCCGCCTAAGTACAAGTCAACGGCATCATGTTGAAATTATCTGAATCTTTGTAAAGCTTGGCGTGCTCAACATTTAACCGCCAGCAGGCGGAGAAGACAGATCAGATTTCAGGACAAACGTGACATTTCGGCATCAACGACCCGGGCAAGATGATTCATGGGAGACTCAGACAAGATGGGGCATATTTCCGCAAGCTGTGTCAATTATGCGCCCCATTGCTCCATCTGGCATGGAGCGGCACCATTTGCCGCAATTGAAAGGCCATTTTTTTCAATTGGGGCACATACTGGCATTTAAGACGGATGTTGCTGTCAGTGCTGTGCTGTTTAAGACAGCTCGGACACTCCACGTTTGTGAACTTGGTCTTTATGACTTCTGGATGCAAGACGCTTCGAAAGACATTCACCGAGGCCATTCAGGTATTCAGCAGCCGTGCACCCTGCCCTTCGCATCCATTATGCACGCCGCGCGAACCGCCCGCGGCAACCTAGCGGCCGCCGGCCGGCAACCGTCTGCGTTCCATTATCAGCCAGTGTGCGCCGCCGCTTCCCTCCCCTTCCTCCCTTGGCTTTGTCGGCCATACTGGCGGCGGGACGGCCAATAGCGACGCGCACCGCATCAGGCTCCGCCCCGACAAAAACGGGCCAGCGTCGGCACCCGGCGGTCGATTGTCGCCGCTGCGTGCTGGGGTGGGGTCGGGAGCGGCGGCAGAGCCGGCCTCGGTCACGGCAGGCAAGCGGGCCTCACTCACGGTAGCTGACATCGGGGGAGGTGGGGTGGTAGCGTAGCATGTGCTGGGGTGGGGTGATATAGATATATGTAGATGTATAAACATATTTGCACATGATTATATATGTATATTGTGTGTGCTGCTGCAGCGATGCAGGCCTGCGGGAGCCCTGTAAGCACGGCCGCTCTCCCCCGGACCGGAGACCGCCGCAGCGCCGCTGTGATAGGCGGGATTCCCAGCCTGCAGCGGCTGACATGACCGCGAGCCGGGCAGAGCGGCGCTGTCGCCCCCGCCAGCGCCGGCCAGCCGTGCGGATCTGGGGTTCGGTCGGACGAGCGGCGGCAGGGTATCGCGGGAGGCCATGACGGCCGGCCCGGCTACCGCACGAGCTTAGGTGCTGCAGTCGGTCGTGCATGTGGCATCTGGTATCTCTGCAGTCCCATGGACCGTGACGTCGAGGGAGTCCCTCTGCTCGTGGGGAGGCCCCCGTGTCTATTCATAGACGGGGACGGATGGGTTGCTGTCTGTGCATTGGTACCATGGTGGCGCGGCATATCTCATCATAATACGTTTGCGGTCAAATTTGCCTGGGGGTTGCGAGAGGCTCTCCCAGCTAAGCTGATAGAATAGAGAGGGAGAGAGGAGTGGTGGTAGGGGGGGGGGGGGGGAGCTTGTGGAGCCGTCAATCTTCGCCGCACCCTGTGAACATCTTGCGTCACCGTTGCCAAAGACACAACAAAGTAAATGCAAAGAGCCTGACTGACTAAGCCCACTGAAACAGACTGAGCACACTCACGTATCTTCCCTGCGCAAAATTAAAAAAAGGCTTTGACCTCTTAGCCCCTGTGATATTGGCGCCATGGCGAAGAGTCGATGCACGGCGGTGCACGTAAAAGCCCGCGCAGAGAACCATGGCACTTCCTACCCTGCAGCCGTCTGTTGGCCCGTCGCCAAGCGCGCCCGCAGCCGGCCAGGGCGGCCGGCCACGAGCGCCGCCAGCCGTCACCTTCGTCCCGGCCGACTGGGCGCGACCTCCGCCACGGCGGCTGGTGGTGACGAGCCGTTCTCAGCGAGGTCAGCGCGCCGCCGGCGGCAGGGGCGCGCTCAGGCGCCGGCCGGGGAGGCGCCAGCGCCGGAGCCCGGCCGCGGGCGCTGCAGCCGCCTCTGCGGACGGCGGAGCGGCAGGGCGCTGTTGGCAGCGGCTGTCGCACGCCCGTCCACGGGCGCTGATGCCACCCCGCTCGGCTGCAAAATTGGTGACGTCACACCTGGTGATAGAGGCCATGCTGGGTTCCAACGCTGGAGAATGGCAACCTATGTGGTGTTCGGAACCCTGTTACATTAGCGTGCTACCGGATAACTTTTGGCGATCAGTCTTGTTTGAGACGCAGTACAAGGTTTAATGGTTAAGGAGGGCATCAAATTGGCGTTGCGTCAGATTCCAATGTAACAACTGCCAGAATGAAGATCTTACCCTCTAGCATTTATTGCAGAGATAAGGATCCTCAGTTTGCTGCTAAAAGTGCATTATTTCTGCGCTCCAGAACTGAAGAAACGACCAGCCTACGAAACATAGAAACGAAATGACGAGAGATGTCATGTGGTCCAACGCAGTTTTATCTAGCATAATGCGAACAAATTGTTCTGGCGTTGCCCCAAATTTGTTTCTGGATAAGTCTGGATTTGGACTGTCGAATTCTTGGCCATCGACGTTCGATCGCCGCTATGACTTTATTACGGCAGATGAAATAGTTTTATCTGGCGATCATTTGAGCAGCGGGATGAGTTACGGCCAATAAAATCACTCCACGAACTGCATAGCATGACTCCTTTGGCTGACTTGTGGGGCGAAAGTAAAACAAAGGATGTTTGGTTATACCACAGTTCCCCTACCTGTATCTTGCCGTGGTGAGCCTCTATAAATGGCGAGACTTATTCAGTTCACGATACGACATCCGCAAGGACCCGGTTAGATGTGTTGGTCAAGTGTCTCACTCTAAATCCCAGCCGAAACAAACGCACCCGCAGATCCTGCAATGTCTCTTGCAGTGTCCAGCCGCATCAAAGTTAAGCTGCTCAAAGTAAAGCGGCACTATAGCTTTAATTGCACGCGCAGAGCGGGGCTTCCCGGTCCTTTGGCCACCTTCAGCAGTTTTCCTCCTAGCTTACTTGGCGTCCTTGCATCACGCCACCGCTGCGCCGCTGCTCACATATGGTCTTACAAAACCAGAATAAGCATCTTGTTCCGGCTGCCCGCTGGTTTGACCACTGTTCGACACGTGTACTGTTGCGACTGAATGAAAGTCGCACGTGCCTGCGGTTGCGTCGCTAGGCCGGCTAACGCAGAGACATGCCGCAGGCGACGATATGTGCCCGTATAAGGGCAAAAGTGTAATGTTGTCCCGACCCTCTGTAGACCGAGGCTCCAGTAACTTCATGGCTGCCTAAGCCAAACACGCCGTGCTACCTCAAGTTTGTATGGACTGAAGCGTCGAGTAATGTCCTGGATCAGCGCAGGCTGCGGCACACAAGCATGTTGAGTGAACCGGGGCTGCAGCCGCCTCGAGCGGTGGGCGGGACCGGACTTGCGCGCAGCCCCTCTGACCGCCCGCTGTCGTTGCAGCTGCGCGCGCCCCGCTGTCGTTGCAGTCGCGCGCGGCCCGCCTGACCGTCCACTGCCGTTGCAGATGAGCGCCCCGCTGCCAAAGAAGCGGCTGTACGGCCGGTGCCGGCGACAGCCGAGCGTCGACGAGTCGGACTCGGAGATGACGCAGGCGACGGACCTCTCGGCGGGCTCCGAGGGCGAGGGCCGCGTCTCGCCGGCCGGCGCCGCGCCGCCGCCGCCGTCGCTCCCCTACCGCTGCCCGCTCTGTCCGGTCACCAGCACCAGCTCGGCCGAGATGATGAGCCACATGCGCCGCCACGAGTCACCGCGGCTCGAAGCCGCCTCGCCGCGCCTCGAGGCCGCCTCGCCGCGCCTCGAGGCCGTCTCGCCGCGCTTCGCAGCCGCCTCGCCGCCGGCCGACTGGGAGGACGAGTCGGTGTCGGACGACGAGCCGGTGCCGCCGGAGCTGGCCGGCCGCGAGCCGCCGCTCACCTGCAACGTGTGCGGCAAGGAGTTCCCGATCCCGGCTCGTCTGCTGCGCCACCAGCGTATCCACACGGGCGAGAAGCCGTTCCGCTGCGAGTTCTGCGGCAAGACGTTCTCCGTCAAGGAGAACCTGAACGTGCACCGGCGTATCCACACCAAGGAGCGGCCCTACAAGTGCGAGGTGTGCGGCCGGGCCTTCGAGCACTCGGGCAAGCTGAACCGGCACCTGCGCATTCACACGGGCGAGCGGCCGCACAAATGCTCCGTCTGCAGCAAGGCGTTCGTCCAGTCCGGCCAGCTAGTGATCCACATGCGTGCGCACACGGGCGAAAAGCCGTACGGGTGCCAGACGTGTGGCAAGGCGTTCACCTGCAGCAAGCAGCTCAAGGTGCACCGACGCACACACACTGGCGAGAAGCCCTACACCTGCAACATCTGTGGCAAGTCGTTCGGCTACAACCACGTGCTTAAGACGCATAAGAACTCGCACTACGGCCAGCGCATGTACAAGTGCACCATCTGCAGCGCCACCTTCCCCCAGCGCAAGGCCCTCGAGCAGCACCTGACCGAGCACAGCGCCGCCGGCAAGCAGCTGGCGCAGCCGGAGCTGGCGGCGGCGGCAAGCGGCGCAGTGCGACGCTCCGCCTCCCCGGAGCTGCCGACAGCGCCGCCGGCCAAGCGGCCAGCCGCGCCCGCCTTCGCGCTGACGCCCTCCTACCTGGCGGCCGTGTCGAGCGCCGCCTCGGCGCTGCCGTCGCTGGCGGCGCTGCCGCGCTGGTACACGTACCCGGGCGCCGCGCCGTACCGCCCCGCCGCGCCGCCGGCCGCGCCGACCGTGGTGGCGCCGCATCCGCTGCGCTACTGCTGGGTGCAGGCGCCGGCGGCGTACCCGGCGCGGCCGCGCGCGCGCCACGGCAGCGCCGGCCTGCCGTCCGGCTCGTCGACGGAGAGCCGTGACTCGCCGCCGGCGGCCGCCTCGCCGTCGCCGTCGGTGGTCAGCTCGCCCGACCGCAGCCCGCCGCCGGCGCCCCTGCCGCCGCCGCCGCAGCAGCGGCCGGCGAGCCCGCCGGGCGCCGACAGCTTCACCACCAAGGTGACGTTCATCCTGACGAACCTGATCGGCGCCGAGGGTCTGCAGCGGCTGGGTTACCCCGAGTGCGGCATCGGCGAGGTGCTGCAGCGCGCGCTGCTCTTCTGCTCCGAGATGCCCTGCACGGACGCGGCCGTGGGTCGGCTCGAGCAGCTCAAGTGCAACATGCGCACGCTGTTGCACTGGTGCATCCCCGACCAGGAGCAGTGGCGCACGTACGGCTGGAGGAACCGATCCATCGAAGAGATCGTCGACCAGTTCTACGGCGAGTGCAGCCGCGAGGAGGCTAGCCGGCAGCCGGGCGCGGTGGCTAAGGCCGACGCGCCGCCGGCGCCGCTGGCCGCGCCGCTCCAGCTGCTGTAGGCGCGCCGTGTCGCGCACGTGTCCGTGCCATATCAGCCCAGCCCCATAATGTCACCGGCCATACTTTGGAACGGAGAGGCGTCGTCGCACCGCGTGGGACGGCCGACAAGGCTGCTGGCGCTGGCAGAACCGCCCGCCACTTCCAGTCGTCGCCAGGGGGCGGTTTTTCCGCGCGTGGGGGGCGATTGCGGTTTCAGTCATAGATCTCTGTGTGCAGTCAGTGTGTTGCTTTGCATTAAGCTGCCTCGATCGACGCAGCGCGTCCGGGAGAGGGCTGAGAGCGCTGGACGGGTCCGGGCTGTTCCCCTCGCCTCGACTCGCCTCTGCTGGGGTGGGGACTGCGCATAACAGACGGGTCTGGGCCGTGCCCTCGCCGATGCCGGTATAAGGACTGTGAGGAACGGACGGGTTCGGGCTCGAGGCTGCCGGCCAGCGCGACGAGTCATGACTCCGAGTCGGCCGCGGCTCCGGCGGCGTCGCGCCTGCCCGTCGCCGCTTGTGTGCAGACGCGTGCGCGGTGACGTAGAGCTGGCCTCCTGTCGCACTGCTCTCAGTTGTGTCCGGAACACCGCGATCCGTTCGCCGCTCAGGTCGAACTATTCGGGAGAAACGGGTGAGGAGTTCGCGAAGCGCGGACTTCACGAGCGCCGCGGCCCACGGCAGGGCCGGGGTCGGCTGTCATTGACGCGTTTACCATTTTGTAACCCTACCTTTCATAGACGGTTTATTGAGTGACGCGTCTCGCACCACGTAGTCAATACAAAGCGTACGACGAATTATGGCTTGGCTGTCTTTCGATGTTCGAACGGTCGGCGCCAGAGACCGACGCTCGTGACCAAGTATTGCACCGCTCTAAGACACAGATTACCGCCATCATCGAATACTTCGTAACTTCCTCAGCCAGCGTCACGAATATAAGTTCGCGGCAGGCACACAGACGTCGGATTGGGACAGGCCTGCCACTGCGTAGAAAGGATTCGCTACACACGCGCTGTCCCCTCCATTCTCCGAACTTGCTGAGCCCCCAGTCAAGACCACATTCGCCGGGCCCACGCAGAAATACCCAGCTCGCGGACCGCAGCGGCCACAATGCCTGTCCGATCGGGCCAGTGCGGCGCCCACCGGATCAGCACATCACGCCGCCGCGCCTCTCGCTCCACACCGATCCGCACTCGAGCCGTATCGACGTCGGTCTCCGGCACAAAGAGGTTGCAATCCGTCACCTCAGCTGTCCGCCGCGGACCACAGTGGACGAGTGCAGCGTGGTAGGCGAGCATCCGGACACGAAGTGGCAACGGCGCGGATCGGTCAGGCACGCGACGCGGCGAGGACGAGGTCGGCGCCCCGGAGCCGGGCGGAGCTGGCGCGGGCGCTGTCGCGCGCTTCAGCTTCTTTCGGTGGTGCCCCACCGGGGGTCGACAGCAGCGCCATCTGCCGCGCCCACCGAGTGTGACCGAATGCACTCTGTCGAGCTTGAGCGCCACAGCAAACAAACACGCGATGTCAATTGATTCTCGACTGAGAGAGCCGTCAGTTTGGACGTCGCTCAGCGAGCGAGTTCCATGGTTTGTTGCAGTTTGTCAGCGATAGACCGATGTTGTGGACATAAGCGAGTCGGAAGGTACTATGCTTACGTAAGAACTCAACCAGGGTTCGGTTACGCTAAAGCAGCTTATGAGCTGAGCAGGCATCATCCGGCTTAGCCCGCCGCGAGGTCGGAATCATCCGAAGACTTCACCTCCCTCATTCTAAGAGAGAATTCCATGGTTTACTGAGAATTTTCACGGCCGAATGTGCATTGAGCGTGAAGGGGACGAAGCACGATTGCGCACCGCTCGTGTGACGGGATCCTTGCACAGCACGGGACGCGACGCATCGCCTCAGGCGCTTGCAGGCGCAGGCGACCATCGACATCGGCGTCATTGCAGCCGCTTCTGTTGGGGTTTCGCTTCACAGGAACTTCACGGGCCAACCCAGCCCGCGGGTGCTTAGCCAGTCCCAGCTCACTAACAGCAACGTCAGCCCGACGGCGTCTTGGTCGCTCCTCGACCCCAGTAAAGCGGATCCACGCGCGGCGATCGGGACAAAAGCCACGGCGCCACAGCTGCACCGAGGGCGCGCCAGACGTCACTCCGGCTCATCTCGCCGAACATGGCCAGCATTTTGGTGCCACGCGGTTTTTAAACCCGCCTTTTGAAAAATAACAGGACGCCATGGATTTGTCTTGCTCATAAAGGTCAAACCGATCAAAAGGGTGTCACTCAGGCAACGCAGCCATGTCTCACTTCAGCTGGTGATTGTGTACAATGCATTCGAGGACATTAGTAATTGGTTAAAGGTGGTGATGCGTTTGCCTTTTGCTGCTGTAGAAGATCCAAATTTGTGTAGTGAGAATACTGCGCGATAATTTTTGGTATAGCTATGGGCTGTGCACATACCGGGTGGGCGAGCGCGGATTGGCGCCCCGTAGCAATCAGCTGACTCGCTGCTGCTCTCCGTGGCCGGTGCACTCATGCGATGCACGTCAACAATTCAAAATTTTTCCTAGAACATTGCGCCGCTTTCTAAAGGAAGCTTCGCTCTCAATCTTATCGACATGTGCTAGTGATGATGGAAATATTCATATGCATTCTCCCAGTCAGTATCCCAGTTTTTCAACAACGCTGGCCCCTGAACCTAGCACCCAGCTCATTTCTCGCCTCCAGGTTTCTTCGGCCTTGTGTACGTGAGCAGACCAGCGCCGCTGCTTTTGCTTTCTTTATTGTGATATCCATACCTTTATAAACAGTGGAGCGGCGCCGTGTGCTGGACGCCGCCGCGACCGGCCGGCCGGCCGGCGGGCGCGGGGCAGCGGCAGCAGCGGCGGCGGCGAGCATGCATACAGCGGCGGCGGCGACGGCGTCGGCGGCGGCGGCCGGGGCGGGTCGCCAGCCTCTACCGGGCTATCACGGCACAGACAAGGGCTCGCTACCAATAAAATAACCAGCGGAACGAGGGCGGGCGGCGGAGCGCCCGCCGGCTGCCAGATGTGCGCGCGCGGGATGGAGCGACGCGGGTGGCCGACGCGTGGGGCGCGCGCGCCGCGCCGCGCCCTGATTGACCGGGCGGCCACGCGCGTCCTCTGTACACATGAAAGACAAAACCAACGAAAAGCAAAACACCGGGGAAACGACTAGCAATCGTAAATAACGAAACCACCGAGCGCCGCGCCGACGGCAATGCCCAGTCCGCACGGGGGCCGCCGGCGCGGACCGAACTCTCGCTAGCCACCGTCATGTAATATCTCTACCAATCACTCTACCGCTAGCAACACGCGTCCGGTCGCTCGTCCGCGACGCGACACAACAACACGGGCCGGCCGGCGCGGCCACAGATAGAGAGAGGGAGAGAGCGGGCGGTGCACCGGGCCGCCGCCGGCGCGCATGGCAGTGTGTGGCGGCGCGCGCGCCCGCTTCGCCGCGCGTTCACATGTTGTAGGCCACGTAGATGGGGTCGAGCTGATCCTGCAGGAAGCCGTCGCGCAAGTGCATGCGCTGCTTCTCGCCGCGCGAGTTGATGGGCACGACGCCCGGGTCGACGACCACCACGACGCCGACGATCAGGTGGTGGTCCTCTAGCACGGTGTTGGTGATGAGCGGCACCAGGTCCAGAGCGTCGTCCTCGTTCCCCTCCAGCTCGGCCACCACCACCAGCAGGTTGGTCCACACGAACACGGCGCTGCCGGCGGACACGCCGTGTCAAGGTGCGGCCGTGCCATGGCGCCCTGAACGGCAACTGACAGCTCGTGCAAGATGATGTAATGCTCATGGAAGCAGTCCGCATCTCGCTCCGGCATCTCATCCGACATATGCCAATTTCGCAATCTTAACCAAATCTAGCGGAGAAACGGAAAACAACTTTACCCGTGCCAACCACATACGTAATCCGTATATCGCTGGATGTCGCAACATTAATTTGACTTCATGATGAACGATGACGAAAAGCCATCTTCGCATTTGTTGTGCAACAGATAAGCATGTGTGCCCGTTATTTGTACATAACAATCGAAGAAGCACAATTCATTTTTAGAACTGACTCCACCGAACCGAGACGGCATCGACTGCACACCATCAGTGACGCGTCGGCGCGGCCCCACAACACGCGCGACATATTACAGGGGACCGACCCAAGCGGCGACACGCATCACAACACAACCCAAAGAGCACACGGGCCGCGCGGCTCCCCAGCGAACCGCGCGGTCTCGACGGCGGACGGGCTGGCGCAGCCCAGCGCCGGGCGTCGGCGCCGACGGCGGCGGCCCGCGGGCCGACTCCACCCACCATTCGACCACCTTCTTGTGGCACTTGAGCACGGACGTCTCGATGTCGATCGGGTGGTAGCGCATGCCGCGCAGCATCACCGTCTCGTCCAGCGAGCCCACCACGAACACGGCGTCGTGCTTCTCTGTGGACGGGGCGGCGGCCGTCAGCACCGAGCGAGACACCGGGCCGCCGGCGGGACCGCCGCACACGGCAGAAGCATGTCGGCCCACTAGGAGATGGAATACAAACACCAGTAGGCAGCGAATGCTCGTCTGTGCCATGCGTCGTCGAGCAAAACAACGACCCAACAAAAAGGGCATTAATCCTTGCGTGATGCACGCGCCGAACTTGAGACATGATGTCAGAATCCTTGTGCAGCACAACTCCCCGCATACAGACCTTTGAAGACGAGCGCACGTCGGAGGGTGACAAGCGCAGCGTGACCTCACGTGACCAACGTTTCGTCCGCCGCTCACTCCCAACACCCACACCCACACACAGTGAAACAAATCTGTCCATCGGCATGCAGCCTTCCACCTCATCCGGACGGCGGCGACGGGAGCCGTCAGGGGGCGGAGGGGTGCCGAGCGAGGGCTAGGATAGGTGGCGGACGGACCTCCGTCGGCGGCCAAGGCAGCCGCCAGGGGGAGGAAGGGGTGCCGAGCAAGGGCCAGAGCAGGGGACGGACAAACCTCCGTCGGCGGCGACGCTGTCGGTGCGTCGCAGGAAGCCCAGGTAGCCGGTGCGGGCGTACACCTCGCCCGTCGAGCCCGTCACCAGCTGGGCGGTGAAGTGGTCCGAGGTGCCCGAGTCGTCGCCGTAGATGGTGAAGTAGCCCGTGGAGGTGTGCGGCGACTGCACCCAGATCTGCCGGCGGCGGCGGCGGCCGGTCGCGTCAGCAACGAACGCGGCGGGGTGGGTCGTGGCGGTCCAGCGGACGCACCAGCAGTGGGGACCAAGAACGACGGGAAGAAACAGATGGGCAGGCGGGAAGGCACTCACTGACACCGAAAGACGTATGCACACAGGGCAAATCCACAGACAGCCGAGTCGACGGACAGACCAATAGCTACGCCTCGGCAGATACACCAATACACCGAGACGGGCAGGCCCGCACACGGACGGACACTAGGAAGCCCGGTCTTTACGGCTGACAGCATTGTACTGCTGCTACACAGCGCGCTCTGCATGCCAGAGCTGGCGCCACTGACACCGGCACCTTCAACTCTTCACCAGTATATTGGCCAGCACGGTAGCCGACACTCCCCGTCTCTCGCCTACCGCACAGCCGGGGACATCCACCACCATTCCTCCTCTAGCTGCTACGAGCAGCCAACGACCCCTCCCTCCTATTGCTTCAGTCCGCCAGCTGCCCCTCCCCCGTCCTCCCTCGGCTGCCCCTCCTCCTCCCCCACCCTCCCTCGGCTGTTCCTCCCCACCCTCCCTCGGCTGTCCCTCCCCGGCCCTCCCTCGGCTGCTCCTCCCCCCCCCCCTCCCTCCCTCGGCTGCGCCTCTCCCGCCCTCGCCACACCACCGGCCGGTCGCCTCTCACCTCGCCCAGGTTGGAGTCGCCGCAGTGGCCCTTGGTCTCGGGGTTGGCTATGATGACCTTGACGCCGGGCAGCAGCTTGCCGGACTCCATCAGGCAGAGGCTGTGCGGCGCGCCCCGCTCCACCAGCGTCACCCGGTCGTTCCGCAGCGCGCGCAGGTCCACGAACACGGTGCTCGGGTCCGGTGACGAGGCGCCCTGGCGGGCAGACACGAGCCCCGTGTCAGCGTACGGCGGGGAGACGTGGCCCAGGCGGCGTGCGATAGAGGGCGGGTCAACAGAGAACGGCGGGGAGACGTGGCCCAGGCGGCGTGCGATAGAGGGCGGGTCAACAAAGTGCGGCGGGGAGACGTGGCCCAGGCGGCGTGCGATAGGGGGCGGGTCAACAGAGTACGGCGGGGAGACGTGGCCCAGGCGGCGTGCGGTAGAGGGCGGGTCAACACTATTTGACGGGATTCCTGCAGCATCTGAAGGATCCTAAAGGCCTGGAGAGCGAGACTTACGCATCAGATAACACTGCAGCGGTATAGGGAAGCGAGGAGCCGGCAGCGGGAGCAGTGTGCGGCGTCCAGTGATCAGTCCGGTGCAGGGAGAAACCGCAGCCAATATAGTTGACAGCCATTTCAGTCATAACGTTCCAACGTTAAACCGTACGCTAATGACCCCACAAGCACAAGTGACAGGAGAAAGTTTAAAGTTGATGAGATGTAAATGCTTTCATTTTTTGAAGTTCTAACTTGCGCGCAGCTGCTATCACAACGCGACCTTTCGCGCCAGGCTCCGCACAGATCCCAATAAAACTTCCCGCCCGTACGACATTCGCCCCCGGACTCTGCACCCGACCACTGAGCGCCACCTACCTGCAGGCAGATGGCCACGTTGACGCGGCAGCCGAAGCTGGTGCTGACGGCACGCGGACTGAGCGCCAGGCCCGAGAACAGCTTGCTGAACGAGGTGCAGAGCGCGATGCGCGGCCGCTCCTCGGCCACCACCACACACGTGCGCACGCACGACAGGTTGACGCCGCGCTGGCGCAGCAGCGGGATGGACGAGGCCAGCCCCTTGGTGCAGAGCTCCATCACGCCTGGCGGAGGGCGTAGCCATGTCAGCGGCAGGGCGGGCGGGGCGCGGCGGCGCCAGCTAGGCGTGGCGCCGCAGCCCAGTTGGGCGCGCGCCCGACACGTGGTGGGGGTGGAAAAAGACGACAGGGGACCGTTTATTACGCAAGAGGAAGCGAAGTTACAGCATGCTTGAATCATTTATCTGAGGTATCCCTACATCTCGCTACGTTTAGATGTTTCTAACACACCACACGTCCCAAATGCACTCACTTATCACTGCATTACACCGGAAGCGTTAACATGAATGTGATTTGTGGACCACATGGACGCTGGCGTCGCCCGTCACCGAGCCGGCGACCCCACCCGGCGCCGAGCGACGGCGCAGCGCGCCCCGTCGAGGCGGCGGCACTCACCGTAGGAGCAGAAGGTGTCGCGCACTTTGTGCTGGCTGACCACCGACAGCCACAGCGTGGGGTTGGCCTCCACTTCGGACGGCGGGATCAGGATCGACCGGTGACCCGAGTAGATGCTGGCGGGCACGGCAGGACGACGCGTCAGACACGGGCGCGCGCGTGCGCACAGAGCGGGTTCTCAGCCGTCAGACGCGGTCCCAGCCGCACGCCACCGGCCGCCTAGCGCCGGAACATCACGGTCAACATGCCGCACCACAGAAGGATGTCATTGGCAAGCGACATCGCAGCGGTAAACTTGACTTTGTTGACAGTAAACGGTGCTGGCACTGGCAGCATACCAGCGCATAAAATTAAGGGCGCCGGACAGCATCATCCGGATTATACGAGCGCATACTGACCAGTGCGGATGAACATGACTAGAAAACAAGACGGAGGGCCTTTTTATTGGCTCACTGACATCTGCCCCGACCACTCCATCCATCCATCCATCCTCCGTCCCCGGTCCGTCCGTTCATCCATCCGTACCCAAGCGGCAGCGCCGCGCCCTCCGCCGCACCCACCTGCTCAAGCACCAGAGCGCGAAACCGAGGCCGCAGTAGGGGTCCAGGCAGAGCGCCACGTGCCGGGACGGGTACAGCTCGCAGGCCAGCTTCATCGAGCGGCACAGCGACGTGGTGGCCGCGTGCGACATCTTGATGCCGGCCAGCATGCCTGTCGTTGACACGCTGCCGGCAGGAGCGCCCACGTCAGATTGGAAGAGGCGCCATCAACATTAGGACCGCCTATCGCCGCACGCCATTATCGTGAGTATTCGCATCGCAGCTTCCCACGTCGGCTGCCGCGATGTCCGCCAAAGACGCCGGACTTGAGCGCGGGTCAGGGGCGCTTAAGTCAGGCGTCTTTGGCACAAGTCATTGAGCGCGTCTGAGGCACAAGTCAGGCGCTACGTTCGTCAACAAATGCCCTACTAACGTGCGAACCACCGTCCTGTTTGGGGGCTCTTACCCGACGTTACCGCCCCAGCCCAAGCCCCCATCGAACCACACTAGCAGCCCGGCCCGACCCCGCCCACCTGAAGTCGAGGTAAGCCAGCATCTCGGCCGTCGGCGCGCGGTACACGGCCACCAGCTTGCGCTTGGGCATGTCGTCCGTGTCGAGCGTGGGCGGCCATGACTTGACGTCCACCACGTTGGAGGCCTCCTTGGAGCGGAGCAGCTTGATCACCGTCTGGTTGGAGAGGATGAGCACCGACTTGCTGACGTCGACCGTCATGCGGACGGTCGGCAGCGTCGTCTGCAGGTTCTGCGGGTGCGGTGGCCTGATGGTCACCGGCACAGCACCTGCGGCAGAGGAGGTCGGGTCAGCGGCCGCCCGGACACGGACACGGTCGGGCACGGACACGGCCGGGCTTGGACACGGTCACAGGACGACCACCGGGCCGGCGCGGTCGGCAGATCATTCATTTCCGGACGCGCCGACTGCGCAGGCCGTTTTGCGCACCACGGCCGAACGCGGTCAGAGGCGGGAACCGAAACGACGGCGTGCGAGACGGGCCGCAGCTGGCAGCGGCCACCACACGGCAGAGCCGGAATCCAGCGCACCAGTCGACGGATCGCTCCGGCAGCGAAACGAGGCGGCACCGCGCCGCAGCAGCGGTCCGGCCACCCACCCCCAGTCAGGCGACCGCCTGTGCCCCGGCGGTCCCAGACCGTCTGTGCCCCGGCGGACCCAGACCACCTGTGCCCAGGTGGACCCAGACCCTCCCGCCCGGCCGCGCGGTGTGGTTCGGTAAAGCGTCGAGCGCGCACGGCCGGCCGTGGCCCCTGAGCCAGATCCTCGCCGAGAGCCGCGACTCCGGCCACCCGCTGGCCGGCGTTCCCGGCCGCGGCCGTGCGACGGCGCTCACCGACGTAGAGGCAGCCGTAGAAGGCGGCGATCAGGTCGAGCCCCGGCGGGTACACGAGCGCCACGTGGTCGCCGGTGTTGACGCGGCCCTTCTCCAGCAGCAGACAGCCGACCCGCTCGGCCCTCTGGCGGACGGCGCCGTGGTTAAGGCGGCGGCAGCAGTGGCGTGCCACGGGGCAAGGGGCACGGGGCGGTGAGCGGGACAGGAGACCGGCAGTGGCGCTCAAGTGCCGAAATGCAGTGGTTCCGCATAGCCTTCTTCTGTGCAACGCGGACTGAGAGCAAACAGCTCGTCGTATTTCGGCAAACACCCAGAAGACTGACAACACGACGCACACTGTCGCTCCGGCTCTGCCAGGCGCACCGCGACGGGCCACAGAGCGCCGGCAATGCCCGCTCGATCGGACGTGGGGCCGCAGCACGCCGCCCGTCCGCCGCGACCACGCTGCCGGCGGGCCGGCCTACCTTGTGCAGCTGGGCGCAGGTGAGGGTGGAGCTCGGGCCGCCCTTGGCGCTCAGCAGCAGGAAGAGCGGGTGGTCGGAGGTCGTCTGAGCCCGCCAGCGCAGGATCTCAGAGATGAACTGGTGCTGCGAATGGCGGCAACCAACTGTTAGCCCATTCACTGAAGCATGTAATTACGTATAACTTGACGTAGTTGCCGCCAGAGTAGCACTCTCCGGGGCCGACAAAAGCTTCCTCCGGCGGGAATCGAACCTGAACACTGGCATGGTCGTCACACACCTGCGGATACCGCCTGCCTGTACGAACACTGGGGCGTGTGGCAAAAGGTGGCCCTTATCACGACACGTGCAGCCCAGCCCAGTTGTAGCGCTCCTGACGTGCGATCCGCGTGAGAGCAGCGGACAAGAGCAGCACCGCGTTCCGGTGATACCATCGCCGCCAGCCCCAGCAGAACCACACCGCATCAGCCGACGGCTGCCGGCGTCACCGTGCACCGAATACGCCGGCGTTGCCGACTGGCAGGCGAGCGGCCGGCGCCTCGCAGCCGCCACCCACCTTTTTCGTGGTGTCGTTCTCGTCGTCGGCGGTGCCCAGGTCGCGCCCCTGCGCCGTGGCCAGCCGGTTGCCCTGCACGATGTTGCCGAGCATGACACTGGCCGGGCCCACGTCGGCTGCGGGCGGGTGAGGCCATCAGGACACCGCATCCGAGACGTGTCGACAGCGGCCCAGAACCGGAGGCCGCCAGAGGCGGACCGACCGGTCAGCGCACCACGCCTGCGACGTGTCGACACCGGCGCGCGCGCCAAGAACCGGAGGCCCCAGAGGCGGGCCGACCGGTCCATGTCATCGGTAGAAAGTCCCACCCAGGCGGGGCGTCACAAGCCGTCGGCACGGCTCCACAACTGCTACTTTAAACACGTCATTGGTTGGCGTCCGACGTGACTTTAAGTGAAAGAAGTGCGACATCGGCTGGTACGTGGAACTGCGATCACTGCCACCACCCCGGTAGAAGTGTTGTCAGCGAGTTTCCGGTCGCCAGCGCCGCGCTCTTTCGATTTACGATCCGTCAGGTCTAGAATGCCTATGACAAGCAGCAACGAACAGCGCCGTCGGCGCCCGACAACCACCGTCGGCACGCCCAGCTTCTCAAGCCCCCGCCGCAGCACAGCCTCCGTCCGGAGGGACACTCGGCCCTCCCGCCGACGGCGGCGCCCGCTGTCGGCAGCAACGGACGCGATCGGCACCCCCGGCCGACAGCCGACCGACGTCCGGACCGGGCGGGCGACACGGCCTGTCGCCGGGAGCGCCAGGTCGCGGCGCCGCCTCACCTTTGTGCACCTCCCGCGGCTTGGGCAGGTTGGTGACGCAGGTGTGCGGGCACATGAGCACGTTGGCCGGGTGCAGGCAGCCGTCCAGGAAGCGCCGCTTGGTCTCCGACAGGTGGATGCCGCCCAGCGGCGTCTTGGGCAGGTAGTTGTGCGGCACCAGGCACAGGCAGTAGATGCCCACCTGGTGGATCGAGTCCACCGCCTGCAGCACTCGCGACATCCACTGGAAACTCTGTGGGGGGGACGGCGCTGTCAGCGGGGCGGAGGGGCAGGGGGAGGGGAAGGGGGTTGCGGCCTGGAGGCCGAACCGGGCCGAGGAGGAAGCTCTGCCCGCAAGGCGGGCAACGAGACAGGGGAAGCGGCGCGCAGCCGGGAGACCGAGCCAAGCAGAGGAGGAAACTCCACCTAGGCTGGGCGGACAGCGCCACCTGGCCTCGAGGTCCGCAACACGGACCCGGGGCATCGTTCAGCGTATCGAAACACAGCATAGCACACACGCACACCTGCGGTGTTCAGACCTCCGTACACATTCGGCCCAGAGACCCAGCCTTTACACTCCCAGAAACTCAGCCTGTTTACACACAGAATCTCGGACGGGCCTGCTCAACACACTCAGGAGCCCTGCTCCTCGGTGCACTGTGACCGCCGACCGACCTGCTCCGTGGCGCACTGTGACCGCCAACTGACCTGCTCCTCGGTGCACTCGGGCCGCTGCTCGGCCACCACGCAGATGCGCTCGTCCCGCAGCACGCGTATGCTGAAGACGCCGATGCGGCCGCGGTAGATGAACTTCATGGGCTCGACGGCCAGGATGGTGGCGATGATGTCGTCGGTGTTGTGTTTGCGGCCGGACACGGTCATCAGGCCGTGCCGAGAGCCGCAGACGAACACCAGGCCGCCCTGTCGGCCGGCGGCGGCGTCACGCGCCGCCTCACACAGCTCCCGTCACAGCGCTCGTCAGGCATGCAACGGCTCGAGGTATTTACGTAACTAAGCCTGCTGTCAACCACAGTCGCCATCCGGACATACGCGGTTGGTCGTTCAGTTCAGACAGCGTGTTATATTGCGCTGCAGGCGACGAGCTGAGAAGAAAAACAGGACCCTGCCCCGTAATCTCCTCGCTGGGCTCTCCCAGTCTCTGCTAGCTGAACTCCTAATCCCACCCTTCATCCACTCGCTCCATTCCCTTTCCTTGCCTGGTTCGGTTTTCCACCCCATCCCCCTCAACCATGCCGTCACATTCTCTCTCCTCGCTTCCCGCCGGCCCTCCCTCTCTCGCTACACCGTTCCACCTTTCCCTTCGCTCGGTGTGTTTACTTCCCGCCCTCCCTCTCTCGCTGCATCCTTCCACATTTCCCTCCGCCAGCGGGCCTCCCTTTCTCGCTGCAACCCCTCTTCCCTTCCCTCCCCTCCGCCAGCGGGCCTCCCTCTCTCGCTGCGCCCCTCCGCCGCCGCGCCGACCCGCTCACCGGCCCGAGGAAGCCGAGCAGGCCGCTGCGCACGTAGTCCTGCTCGCCGAGCGTGGTGCCGTCGGCGCGCAGCGGGCGCACGCGGAACGTGTGGTTGGTGAGCCCCTGCAGGCCCCAGTAGCTGGTGCCGGCGGCGGCCGAGCTGACGCAGATCTCGCCCACCTCGTCGGTGCTGCAGAGGCGCGGCTCGCCCTCGCTGCGCACCACCACCGTCGTGGCTGCCGGCGCGCGCGCGGCCGTCAGGACACAGATCAACGCCGTGGGGCGGCCGGTACGGGGCTGTCAGGGCACGGACGGTGCAGGGAACATCACAGTCAACGTGCCGCATCACAGAAGAATGTCCGTGGGAAGCGACATCGCGGCGGTAAACTTGACTTTGTTGACAGTAAACGATGCTGACACTTGCAGCATACCAGCGCATAAAATTAAGGGCGCCGGACAGCATTGTCCAGATTCTACGAGCGCGTCATGGCTAGTGTGGATGAACACGACTAGAAAACAGACGACAAACGCACGCCCCGTGATGGATGTGCGGTGCAGAGGGGCCTGGGCACGCGCTGTCTCGAACGCCACGCATGAGACACGTTATGGCCGCGGGGTACAAGGCGGTCACGTCCCGCATCCATCCATATGCCAACTGTGATGACAGAGGTCATGTCACAACTCAAACTCTCACTGTCATCTCCACGTCGTCACTTTCTGTCACGGTCGTCAGCAGTCATCGCATCTCACGAGGCTCACTGCAGACGCCGCAAGGAATCGTCTTCATCAACAACCGACGCCAACAGGCGTCAGTGCGGACCGCGAGCACTGATGCCGTCCCCCTTCCCCTCCAGCAGCTGAGCACGAGCACGGCGCCCCCCCGGCGGTCGGCGAGCCATCGGCGAGCCACGCCCATCCGTGACCCTCCCCCCCCCCCAGAGCCTCCAACCGCGGCCGCCGGCCAGCGAGGGCAGCGAGCCGAGTCATGGACGGCTCAGCGCAGTCACCGGCCAACCGCCCTGGGACGATCAGCCGCTCACAAACCCGGAGGGGTGGACCGCCGGCAGCTCCCACCCCTCGGCAGCACGGCAGGCGGCTCACCTCCGGGCAGCACCTGCCCGCAGTCCTGCAGCGTCAGCGAGGTCAGGCTGTTCTCCTGGTCGACGCGCACCACGCCGTGGCTCAGGCCGGCCATGCTGAGCACGCCCCGGCCCGTGGCGTTGGTGCCGCCCTGGCCCGGCCGGCGCACCGCCACCGTCATCGTCTCCGAGCTGCTGGCGCACGGGCAGATGGCGTCCGGCCGCAGCCCCTTCGACTGGAACACGCTGAGGAACTGGTCGCACGAGCTGAGCGACCACGGGTTGGCGCCGTCGGCCACCAGCAGCAGCCGCAGCGACGACAGGTTGATGTCCTTGTGGTCCTTGGTGGCCAGCAGGCCCCAGTGCAGGTCGCGCGACTTGACGATGGCGATGCTCGCTGCCGGAGGCGGGGGCGCCGGTCACACGGTGGGCACGGGTGCCGGGGGAAGCGAACGTCACGGCGGTGCTGGCGGCGGCCGGGCGTACAGACAGCACAGGCTGAGACCGGCCATGCTGAGGACGCCCCGGCAGACGTACAACCGGACGCACAACCAGCCGGACAAACGAGAAGAGACAGGGCTGCGCGCGTCAGTGCTCTAGGTGCTCTACCATCCTACCCGCCAGCTCGGGGAAAGGGACACACACCCAAGAGCGGATTCCTAAGGGGGGGGGGAGGGATCACTGTTGTGCACAGGAGCCTGGACACACCGCACAAAAAGGCACCGCCGTCCGACCCGGCACCAACCTTTGAACTTGGTGATCATCTGCATCCAGCTGGCCGGGTTGACCTTCATCAGCGAGTAGGGGATGAAGATGACGTGCATGCCGTTGAACACAGAGCAGAGCGTGGCGTGCCACAGGCCCACCTGTCGGCGCGACAGCGGACCGCTCACACACCGACCGCGCACCGCCGGCGGCGCGCCACGGCCAACATACAGAAGAACGGACGCTTCAGACACACGCGCGCTACTCATGTTTGCACGGTCGCTCCCTGGTAACACGGCCTGGGTCAGTGAGCGGAGCCAGCAGTGTATGCCAGCAGTAGTAAGTAACGGACGGTGAGGGGCTAGTGGCGGCCATCGCGTGCTGGTTCTTACACGCAAGCAAGCACGCACACACGCACACTCGCACGCACAGAGACATACCCAGCCCAGCGCGCCGTGCAGCACTAGAGGCCGGCGCCTGCATCGCTTCTCCCACGTCGCGCCCCGCGCTTGCGCCGCCGCCACGGCAGTCGACCGGGGCGGTCCCCACTCACCTCCCGCTTGAAGTCGACCACGCAGACGCAGATCTCGCCCTCGGTGTAGCCGCAGGCGGAGGTGAGCGTGCGACACTGGGCCAGCATGGCGGCCCGCGTCACCGTCACGCCCATCACCGAGCCGTCGCCGTCGGACGTGTACTGCGCGAGCACGACAGGCGGACGCCGGTGAGGACAAGGCGCGCGACCGCCAGCATCCAGAGGGGGACGGCGGCGGAGGACGGCACCGGGGCTCGGGGAGACACTGAGTCGAGGTTGCGGGGACGCGCTGGGGCTGGGGCGCGACGCGGGGGCCTGAGTTAAAAGTCCGGGCCTGTGACGCGGGGGCCCGAGTTAAAAGTCCGGGCCTGTGACGCGGGAGCCTGAGTTAAGTCCGGGCCTGTGACGCGGGGGCCTGAGTTAAGTCCGGGCCTGTGACGCGGGAGCCTGAGTCAAGTCCGGGCCTGTGACGAAGGGGCCTGACTTAAGTCCGGGTCTGTGACGCGGGGGCCTGAGTTAAAAGTCCGGGCCTGTGACGCGGGACCTGAGTTAAAAGTCCGGGTCTATGACGCGGGGATTGAGCTAAGCCAGGTTCGGACGACCAGTGTTATCATGGTGAACGGATGTCGGAGGCTACCAGGCCGCTCGCCAGGAATACCCCCAGGGTTGAAGAAACAGCACAACCGCATCCGCTGGGTTCAGCACTGGGACAGTTCTAAAGCTCACGGAAAAGAGGTTTGCTCCAAAGAGTTCACTATCACCGGTTACATCAGCTCTAATTCTATCACGAATGCCTTATTTCCGACGCCTCCGTCGGCGGGGGCGTCTCTCGCACACCGCGCCGGAGCAGCCCAGCGCGGGCGTTCGCCCCGTACCTCAGTGTAGGCGGGCGCCTCTCGCACACCGCGCGGAGCAGCCCAGCGCGGGCGCGCGCCCCGTACCTCAGTGTAGGCGGGCGTGTCGTCGTTGAGTCGCGGCGGCGGCTGCCACTCCTTGGGCGGGCGCGCCAGGTGCTCGGTGATGAACCAGTGGAGGCGCGGCCAGCCCTTGAAGGCGGCCACCTCGCCGCTGGCCGTCTTGGGCAGGCCCTTGTGGCACGGCTCGGTGGTGAGGGCCACCTGCACGCCGCAGCTACCCAGGAGGAAGCCGATCTGGAGCGAGCCGGCGTCCTGCCGCGCGCCACCAAGCGTCACACCACGCGCCGACACACGCGCGTCGGTGAGCGGGGACACACAAAACAGGGCCAGACCGCTGGTGTTCTGTTCTACGGCTTCGCACTCGTCAAGTATCAGTATGCATGGATGCACCTCCAAGGAGCCAAGAACAGGCAATTCATTGACTTAAGATGTCACATTTGATCTTAAACTTGGTGTCATTAGGGGAAACTCACCACACACTCACTTTTTGTCAGCTTGTGTGGAAACGTGCCAACTAGGAACACACCAGCAAAACCGGCCAAACCGCAAGAGTTTGAAAGTACCCCCCCCCCCCCCCCCAAACTAACGCATCAAAGAATCTGCTCACAATGCGTGAGACCCGAGTCACAACCTGCACTCAGCGAAGAAACCCGGCCAAACAAACAGGGCAGGCTGGCAGCCAGCTGACGCCCAGCAGCTGTGGCACCTCAGAAGGCCGGCGCGTCACGGCGTCCGACACGGTGCAGAGGGCCGTCAAGCGCCGGCGGCGGCCGCCGCGCCAGACAGCCGCTGATTGCCGCCGAGCGGGGCCGACCGCTTGTGCAACGCGCGGCATCCGCCGGTACGGGACCCAGGGGCAGCGGCCGGGGGGGGGGGGGGGGGTGAGCAGGGGAGGAGTCGGGAGAGAGCAGAGAGAAAGAGGGGTCAGAGGTGAGTAAGCAAGAGGGAGAGGAGAGATGGACCAAGGAGCAGGCGGGTGAGCGGTGATGGGCTGAAACAGAGTATGACGGGGAGGAGACGTCACGTTGCAATGGACGAGTGGGCGGTGGAAGTGCGGGAGTGAGCACAGCGACAGAAACGAGGACGGGACGGCAAGAGTAAGGGAAGTGAATGAGTGAGGCGTCGGGATAGAGGCCAAACGAAAGGCGAACGACGCGTGACAGTCAGGGAGCTGACCGACGTGCAGCGATCGCAGAGGGCGGGGAGGGGGGGGGGGGGGGGGCGAAGACGCGCCAGGCCGGCGGTGACGAGCACCGCACTACTACGAGCCTCGCTCCCACTCACCCGGCGCGTGATGGGCACCTCATGGGGCACGGGCAACCATGCCGGCGTACAGGCAGCCGTAGAAGGCGCACATGAAGCTGATGGGGTCGCTGTTGGGGTACACCAGCGCCACCCGATCGCCCGGCTTGAGGTTCGTCTCGCCGCGCGCCTTGTTGAGCAGCGCGAAGGCGATCTTGTGCGCGCGGCTCAGCAGCTTGCCGTAGGTCAGCGGCACCGAGGCCCGGTTCGTGGCGTCCAGCACCGACGCGCACGACGCCTTGAACGTGGCCGAGCCGTACCGCTGCACGGCCGCCTCCAGGTTGCGCGGCAGGCCGGCCGGGATCTGGTGGCGAGGCGGAGTGTCAAGCGGAGTGCCGCGTACAGCGCGGCATCAGACGGCGGGTCGGGCTGGGAGCGGCCCGCGCCGGGTGGGGGGACGGCTCGGGGACGGTAGAGCCGCTGCTGCCTTTGAGGCGTGCGCGGCCCGTGGAGCGCCGCATACAGCGTGGCGTCAGACGGCGGGCCGGCCTGGGAGCGGCCCGCGCCAGGGTGAGGGGACGGCTCGAGGACCCAAGATGCTGCCTTTGAGGCGTGCGCGGGCCGGCTGGTTCGTTTTAACGGCCGCACCCAAGCTGGTTAACTGTCGTCTTGTCTGGCTTCGCTGATCGTGAGTGAGTGGCGCGTGTGCGTGCGTGCGTACGTGCAGATGCATGTGTGAATCACACTCCAAAACACTTGCTCATTCAATTCCGCCCATACATCTGAGAGGGCGTATGAGCCATCGGCCGAGTATTGCGCAGTACGCCGAAACAGTCCGCGCCGTCAGTGCGAGTCGCCCGCGTCTGGCCGTCGCAAACAGGCCCGACTTGCTCCGACGGAAGCCAACTGGACGCTTCCGGGATGTCGCAGGGACCAGTGACGCACTGGTGAGTAGGTCGCGTTTGCAGAAGACTTTGTGAGCAGCGGCGGGCGCTGTGTGACCGTGCCAGCGCACCGCCCCAAGTTGCATGACATCAGTCATTCAATCAACGGGCGGGTGAATCGGTTAGCCCGAGGGTGCGCGTGCTGTCTGTCTGTCTGTCTGTCTGTCTGTCTGTCTGTGTCTGTCTGTGTCTGTCTGTGTCTGTCTGTCTGTCTGTCTGTCTGTCTGTCTGTCTGTGTCTGTCTGTCTGTCTGTCTGTCTGTGGGTGTGCTGTGACTGTCTGTCACTGCAACCGACGGTGATATCGAGGGACGGGGAGGGGTCACGGACCTGGTGTCTTGGGTGAGCGATGCAGCCGGAACGATCGCCGGTGGAAACATGGAAATGGGCACTTTGTGGATGCAGGTGAACACTTCGCACATTCATACCGCGAAATCAAGACATTGAACCGTTCTTAAAACTATTCAGCCTCATTTAGACCTTTTTACACATCATTCAATGAGTATAACACTTAACCACTTACCTTTTTAATATGTGCACTTACACCTTTGCACATGCCATCTAACTGCAATGTGTATAATATTACACCACATAGCTTTTTGAGATATGATGATATTAACATACCAAAGCCCAACGTGGGCATCTGCATATTCGATATTTATGACTGCTGCCATGCGAATACAGAATCGGTGCAGACGGCCGCAGGCATACAGTACATCGCGCGTTATTTCCCACTCGATTTCACAAACCGCCTGTTGTAACCTTGCCTGCCCTCCCGGTACGTGCCCGCAGCGACCGCGCCCCGGCTGGCCTACCTCCAGGTGCTCGCCGACGGCCGGGGTCATGGGGCCGCCCTCAGGCTTGGGCGCCGCCGGGTCGCGCACGCGCGCCGCCATCTCCAGCTCCTCCTCGTCGTCCATGTAGAACTCGGGCAGCGGGCGTCGCTTGGGCCGCTTCAGGGTGTTGAGCAGCTGCTGGATCTTGGTGGACACCTTCCACGGGCGGTGGCTGTGGACGCGGCTGGCGTTAGCACGACCTTCCACTAGCTCACAGCGCGAGCGACTGGTCGTCGGCGTGACGACCGCCCACATCGGCCGCAGCCGGGAAGAAAGCACGGCAGGCGGCGAGCTTCGAACCCGCGGCCGTTCGGTCGGTGAGCGGCGTCGCTACGCCGTCGACAGGCCGCCTCGGTCCGCGCCGCCGGCGGAGACAGTGATCCGCCGCGCTCAGGGAGGGCCACCGGCGCCGGCGCGACTGATGGTCGCCTGGACCAGGCCAGCTCGGTGGCCGCCGCCGTCGTCCAGCGCGCAGCAGGCTCGGCGGGCGCCGACAGCCACACCGGCCCACCAGCCGATCTCTCACATAACGGACGGACCGGAACTTACCGCAGCGACGCAGCCAAACCCAGCCCAAATCCCTACAGCGACCGCTCGCGAGGCCACGGTCCGGCGGTTACGTGCCGGAGCCTCTCAGTGACGGCCCGACC